TATTTCAAAATACATTGCAATAAGAATTTTAAAACATTTTACCACTTATTTTAACAAAATAAAAATGTCAAAAACCACAAGCAATAATTTTGTCATTATCAATTAAATACTGATTATCTACCTTTTTCAGGTAAATCTAAGTTGTCATTTTTAAATTCCACATCTGATTAACATGATTATATGCATTATTGATGGCAAAAGGCAACAGCTTAAAATTAGCCCTCAATTAGATCTGAATTCATATAGTCTTACCTCTGTTCCTTCAAAAGGAGGTGGATCTTTAGGTTTGCTTGATTTTTCTTTTTTTTCTGTAAAAATATATTTTTTAAAAATGAGAAATAGGTTTTTAGAGTTTTGGAGTAAGTTTTATTTTTCAGCATCTTTGAGTAGATAAGTTGGAGATATTAAGACTAACTGGCTGATAAAATTTACCTTTTCAAATGTATAAAAAAAGCACTTCTGGGGCTGGGAATTTAGCTCAGTGGTTTTGCTGCTTGCTGTACAAGTGCAAGGACCCGAGTTCAATCCCTGGTACCAAAAAAAAAAGAAAAGCACATCCATAACCTATCCATCTATTCCAGTGACTCGGGCTTGGAGAGCATAAACTAATAAAATCTGTAATTAATTCCCAAGGTATATTGGGCAGTGATCTTAACATCCTCTGTGGTTAACCAGATTTACCAATAAGAAACAAAATAATAAACTCTAAGTATTCTTTATTTCCTTTCCTAATTCAAATTTAAGGTGGGAATAGGTAAGTCATTAAGGCAAAGAAAAAGCATTAATTTAATAATCTGAATAATATGACAAGAAAAAAGGAAATGATAGGTGTATTTACGAGCTAAAATAAAATATGTTTAACTGGTTTTGCTCTGATCGGTAAAATATCATAAATTTAAAGACAAGTATTCAATATACATATTAATTTAATCCTCAATTCCCAAGTAGGAGGCATCCAAAGCATCGAACACAACTTTGAGCCATTTGTTACAGTATATTATTGAATTAAAAGCATAATTTCATTTCCTAAAAACAAAAACCTATCAAAAATGCTTAATTAGCTGAGCTTGGTGGCACACACCTGTAATCCCAGCTACCTAGGAGGCACAATTTCAAGCCCAGTTTAGGCAATTTAGTGACATTCTGTCTCAAAATAAAGTAAAATGCATTGGGGATGTAGAGTGCTTGCTCAGCATGTATGTAAAGTCTTGACTTCCATCCCTAGAATTGCAAATAAATAAGCAAATAAATATTTTAGTAATCTAGCTCAAAAATCTAAGCAGTGTATGTACATTAAATCTGAAAAGTATCAAAATTTGATTCTATAATTAGCAAATACATATAATAGAATTACCCTTTACTATTTTCAGAGGACACCAGCCAATTCAGATGAGGTCATATAATCTCAACAGCTAAATTTTGCCTCAATCAGATAATTTATCATGACAGTGGTTGTAATTAGCAAAGGAAAAATCATTTAAGGTAATGAATCAAAATCAAATATGGTTTGTTTCAATCACTTTCAGGGCAAGGTTTCTGCCTGTGAAATAGCAAATACTATGTAGAAAAATATTTTCATATTCCTTTAATTCCCGGGAGGAGGGGGAAACACTGATTTGGAAATTTATTACTTTAGATTTATTTGAAGATGCTATCTCATAATTTATAGACATCTTAACAAGAATATTCTTAGATATTTAATAAAACTTTTCTTGATATTTTCCATATCTAGACAGAACTTATAAATCATTAATAAGCACAGTATATACTGTTTGCTATGTGATTAGAAGCAATCAAATTCAGATGCCTCTTTTTTATTTTAAATGAATCTATACTCACTCAATTCATTCAACAAATATACACTGAACATATAATATGTGTAACAAAAGTATATATTAGGTATAAATCATTTTATTTTCTGTAGATTGGAAGAGAAGACTAATTTTTAAAAAGTCCAAACAAAAATTTTATTCATTTTCTATATTTGGTCTAGTCAAAAAACTTCAGCAATGATTTGTTATTTAAAAAGCACCGTATTTTAGAAATTATCAGTGTTAAACAATAGTAAATACTATGAAATGGAATTAAATAATTTGTGATACTTTCCATTTTAATGTTTGTTTTGCTTTTTGATTATATGAAAATATCTTCTATAAATAATCATTCCCTTAGCTCTAATACTTTAAATAGCATAGTTATTTTATAAGGAAATTGAAGATAGGTAAATGGCAACAATAGAGATTGAGAAATTAAATAGTATTTTCCTAAGGAAGATTCACAAAAACTATTTTTAAGGTACTGTAAAGTAGATAGATACAGATCTGAACATTTTTACAAAAACAGACACATTTAAAAAATTCACTCAAATTATAAACTAAATATCAGTAAGAAATTTAGAAAATGTAAGTCTAGTAGTTAAGGCACAGAAAGTGGGTTTTGTGCCCTAAATTCTGTATTATTTTACAATCAATATGAAAGTCTTTTATTTTTTATTTTACCATATACAGACACACATACATACACAATAAAACAAAATCAGATCATTTTATGTAGAAGCATCAAACCTGGCATTTAGGAAACTAGTATGTTTGCTTTCTTGCTCTTAACACTGGTTAAAAAAAAAAACAAAACACCTCAATACTCAAATATCTAAACTATAACCCAACAACTTAGGTTTTGCATTTGAAAAATCAGGAGTTCACTTACCTTTTCCTGACAATGAATCCCGGCGGTTCTGCAGATAGTACAACAGCTGCTCTACTTCATTTAGCTTTGAGGGATGAATAAGTTTACATTCTTCAACCACTTTCCGTGCCAGGGAAATTATATCTGTGTTGGCATTGAGACCCTTCAGACGAATACTGCAATATATCCAATTTCCAACTCAGATATCAAAGCACATGATAAATTCAGTGATACTACTTTAAAATGTTATTTATACATTACACAGTCTACATGCACTTGACCATAGAATCTTAGCAAAATAAATGTTATTTATAATTAGAAGTAGCAAAACACAAGGCAATGCTTTTCTTTAGGTTGAACAAACAAGATGACAAAAGCCAACATAAAATGTTTTCTGAATCTCTAGGCAGGACAACATATTCAGAGGTCCTATTTTAAAGCAGTATTTCAGATGTAAAATATATAAAACCTTTAGTCCTTATTGTATTTGAGAATCAATGCTAACACAAATGAATCAATTTGCTAGAGTGGCATCTACTGTTTGCAACAACAGCCCTAGCAATATTCAGTCCTTTATCATTTTTTCTTTAATATATTTGAGTTATTTTTGTTCTACCCTTTAAGGCTTTTAAATTATTGACTATATTGTTGAATAGTTTCAGCTCAACATAAGAAGGCAGAAATAGAGTTCACTTAGAGAAAAACTGAAAAAAGGCATCTCCATATTTCATTTCAACAAAGAATAGGGAAACCTTGACTTTCAATAAATCTGAGCAGAAACACAATAGAAATTCTATAAGTATATTTAAAATTTTTTATTAAACTTTTTTTTCAATATTGGGGCTGAGAACCCGTTTGCACTGAGCCACTGAGCCAGTTATACATTCCCCCACCTTTAACTATACTGTATATTTGTATTTTTTATGTTTAGACAGGGTCTAAGTTGTTGGGTTGACAACATTCAGAAGACAAGATTTTCAAGAGATGAATTCAAGGTCTGGGCCGCACTTGGGAATTTCTGAAAGTCATACTAGTTTCTGAAATTCCAGGGAAAAAAGAGCATAGGATTACCTAAGATCTCAATTTCTTAAACTAAAAAGCCCATATAAACATCTTTTTATAATTGCTTTCACAAGTTAATAATTACAAACCTTATTTTCTCTGAATACTCTATAGTTATAATTCAATATAATCTCTCACTTAGATGAAGTATGTCATGAAGATTACTGTAACAACCATAAAGATCAAAATAATAACAGATTTGTATAAGGTATGTTAAGGTTCACTATGTACAAAATGTACACAAATAAAATGTTTCAAAATGTACACAAATAAAAAAAACCTTACATTTTTTGGCATTCCTTTCGTTCTCCCAACATGGGATCACCCATTTCTCCAAGAATGGTAGCTTCCACTTCATACTGAACAATAAGTGCTTTTTCTGATGGATGTACATCAATATTACCTCCTTTAACTTTCCTAAAATATAAAATAAAAAAGAGATAACCAGATTAGAAATTTACAAAATGTCCATGGTTTTATTCTAGTTTCTTCTAGTTCTAAATCATGTGGGGTGGATTAACATATACTTCTGAATCAGATTTATTCTGGATTTGGGACAAGAAATAAAAACTTTCTCCACCTCTGCAGTACACATATAATTCATGGTCCTGTAAGAAAGTACCTTCATGAACAGCACTATCTTAACTCAAACAATCATGCATGAAAGCAAATGAATGAAATACAGCAATCAAGATGGCTTTGGAGAGAATAACCTCAACTAAAAGCCAGCCCATCAACAGCAAAGGTAGCTGCTCCCAAGTTTGTATTTTCTTTTTAAATTAGAAGATAGTAGAATAGAAGTAGCTTTCACATGACCCTGTAAGAATCACTAGAAAGGAGAAACTATATTCTGGAGAGATTCCAAGAATCAAGAAAGAAGTGACAGGAAAGCAAAAAAGCACAGGTAAACAGAAGAGCAATGCAGAGAAAAGTATGAAGTAGAACACAACACCAAATTCAGCACCCTGGGAGCAGGGAACCCAAGTCCACAAATGCAAGGTAATCCAGGGAGAGTGCCAGTAGACCAATGATAAATTGACCAGCAGCACTAGCTGCAGGACAAACCCATGGTTGTGACAGGCTGTAAATCCAGTGTGGAGATTTAGTCTGAAAGTGTCTCCTCCAGCATGGCTGGTTAGCTTTGGAGAAGAAATCCACTGCATTGCCTACCATGTCTCAGAGTAACTATAACCAGGAGCCACCTTGAAAGGGGATTTATTTAGGAGGATAAGAAAGCATAAAACCACACTTCACGGTCCTAAAGAACATCCCTCCCCATTGACTGGGTGGAGACAGCCACAAGAAAGGCATGGAGAAGGACAGGCTTAGTCACAGATCCTCTCAGAAGTTTAAGCAGCAGGAGCTTGGGCTGTGGTGGGCGTGGAGATCCTCCTCTGTGATGGGGACCACCACATGTGAATTTCTGAGGAGACTGAGCCCAAATTACTCAGTAATCACAGATGCCCCCTCCACAACAGAACTCAGTGGTCTATCTGCTTCTCTCACTCTCCACCATGTTGGGAAACACTTCTGCTTGGACATTTGGCATGCCTTCAGGTGCCCGGACAGGAGGGCTTCTGCAGGGGGTAGGGCACCTGATCAACCTACATGCTGCAAAGCTAGCTGGGGGTAGCAGTGGCTCTGGTTGTGCATGAAGGAAACAAACAATAAATAGCCTCTAGAGTAAACGGTGCCCTGAAGCAGATATCATATCATTGACCCCCATGGATGTGAGAAAGAGGAGGCAAGTCTCAGTATTTATATACCACCAACCCCTTAGGTAGTAGATGAGGGAACTAAAACAGGTCCAGGAGTGACTCACCAACTCTCCTCTCTCTGGTGGATTCCAATATGACAGATCCTGGAAAGAAATTTTATCCATCCAAACACCATAGCATGGAGGAATTTTTTGTTCTCATTTTTCTTTATTTTTTGTTTGGTGTTTTTTTCCCCATCTTACATTTATCTAATTTTCTTTACTTCTTTTAAAAATTCTTTAATCAGATTTTTATCTCTAATTTATCATTATCATTATTATTATTATTATCATCATTATTATTATTGTTTGCAGTACTGGGGATTGAACCCAGGGCCTTTGCACTGAGTTACATTCCTGGCCCTTTTTAAAAAATGTTTAAATCAGGGTCTCACTAAGTCACTAAGTTACCCAACAGTACTTGACCTTAAGATGCTCCTGCTGCCTCAGTCAGTGCTAGGATTACAGGAATGAGCCACATGCTTGGCTGTTTTCTTTAATCTGTTTCTCAACTGCTCTTTATAAAAAAAAAACCTTGCTTCTTCCATTTTATCCTTTCCCCACAACTTCCATTTTTGTTATGACTTTATTATTATTATATTTTACATTTATAATTTTAACCTTTTATTCTATGTTATTTTTCCCCTTTCTTTTCTATTGTTATTGGTAGAACAGTTGTTGGCTTTAGTTGGTTTTTACTGTATTTCAGTATCTGATTTTTCTATTCTTTCCTACTATGGATTATTTTCTCCTCTCTGAGCAGAACTGCAGATCAAGGCCCAAAGAAGGCTCCTCACTATGACTCTCACATAAAAGTGAAAAAGCTATCCATTCTAACAGATGCATAAATCTAAACTTAGAAACATAAGAAACATAAAAAAGCAAGGCAACATGACTTCTACAAAGGTTCATAACTCTTTAGTAACTGATTCCAAACATATCAAAATAGATGAAATGCCAAAGAATTCAAAAGATAAAAATTTTTAAATGATCAATGACTTCCAAAAGGACACAAAGAAACAGCTAAATGAATTAAAGAAGATAATGCAGGACATGAAAGAGCAGTTCAACAGACAGTCTGAACAAGAATCAAACAAAAAGCTTGGAAATGAGAATGTCAGTAAGTAAAAAAAAGTGGGAAGCCTCATGAATAGACCAGATCAAGGAGAAGACAGAAATTCAGGGTTTGACCAACTATCACTTTTAGATGGTAATCAAAGTTAAAAAAAGTTACAAACATGGGGGCCGGGGATTTAGCTCAGTGGTTTCACTGCCTGCTGCGCAAGTGCAAGGACCCAAGTTCAATCCCCGGTAGCAAAAAAAAAAAAAAATTACAAACAAAACATCCAAGAACTTTGGAACATGGTTAAAAGATCAAAGTAATGAATTTTCAGCATAGAAGAAGGCAACAAAGAGAATAAAGGCACAGAAAATCTAGTCAGTGAAATAAAAGAAGAAAACTTCTAAGATCTTGGGAAAGCTTTAGATACAGAAGACATTTAGAACCCCAAACAGAGAAGACCAGAAAAGAACTTTCCTATGTCACATTATAGCTAAAATGTCAAAAGTATAGAACAAGGAAAGAATATAGAAAATTGCAAGAGAGAAACAACAAGTCATTTATAAAGGCAAATCCCTCAACAACTGCAGATTTCTCAGCATAAAATCTAAAGGTCAAAAGGGGATGGAATGATGTATTTCAAGCCCTGAAAGAAAGTAACTTCCAACCTAGATAACTATATCTAGCAAAGCTATTTTTCAGAATTAAAGAAATTAAAACCATCTAAAATAATCTAAACAAAAGGAATTCATGACCACTAAGTCAGCAGTGAAGAAAATATTTAAGAGTGCCACACGCACACACAGATAAGCAAGTGGGAATTAGGAAAAAAACATGACATAAACAACAAAATTATAGAAATTAGTATTATCTTTTAATAATAACTCTGAGTGTACAACTGGTCTTAATACAACTAGAAGACACAGATTGGTAGACTGGGTTAAAAAACAAAGACCCAATTCTTTGCTGCCTGGAAGAAAACACGTTACCAGCAAAGACTCAGTCTGAAAATGAAATGATGGAAAATGACATTCCATGAACATGGAACCTGAAATCAAGGAGAAGTAGTTGCTGACAAGCTGACTTTATGTCAAAATTAGAAACATGTTGATAAAGGGAACAACCCACCAGCAAGATAGAACAATTGCAAATATATTAGCTCCTCAAACTATTCTATGAAATAGAAAGGGAAGGAATATTTCCAAACTCATTCTGTGAGGTCAGTATCATCACTCTGATACCAAAACCATATAAAGTTACAACAACAAGGAGGGGGCTACAGATGAATATCCTTTATGAATACAGATGCAAGAATTCCTAACACTTGCAAAGTAAATTCAACAACATACCAAAAATATAATACAACATAATTCAGTTGCTTTAATTCTAGGGATATATTGATAAATATACCACGTAACTATAATCAAGGATTAAAATCACATGATACAGAAAAAGCCTTTGACAAAATTCAACATCCTTCATACTAAAAACCCTGAAGAAACTAGGCAAAGAAGGCTCAAACCACAACAAAATACAGGCTATATGTGACAGACTTAGCTAACATCATACTGAATGGGGCAAAACTGAAAACAATTTTCTCTAAAATCAGGAGTGAGACAAGAATGACCATTTTCACCACTATTATTCAATGTAGTACTTGATATTTTAGACACAGCAATTAAGCAAAAGAAAGAAAGAAAACAACAAAACAACTTGTTTGGTACTCATCAATTTTGGTACTCATTGTGCCTCCCAGAACCAATTAATGAGTGCAGAAGTACCACTGTATATATTCTGTATGTATTCTTTCATGCAACTGTGTGAAACGTAGCATTAGCATCTGAATAAAATAATTCCTCAATGACACTCAAATTATGTAGCAAAAAAAGTATTTATAGGTTATATATGTTCTATACTCATACATCTCAAATTATGTTAGTAATACTTTCTATAGATAGATTGTATATACTCTTTTCTCAAGTCCCTAAAATCAGAAAATGAACACTTAATTGCAGTAAACCAATGATGAATTAATAACTTGTCACCTGGCTAAAGTGATAAAATGAGTTGTACTAGAAGAGGATAAGCAATAAAAACAAGCAAGTTTTCTACTCCTCCTCACAGCCAGTTAGCTAACTAATGAGGTCTTTTAGGTTGGTGAAAAAGAACAGAAAGAATTATAATCAGAAATGTGAGCCTTTTCTTTCAGTTAGGAATAATACTTGATTTACAATGCATATATATTACCAATGTTAAGCTTTTAAATGATCCATTCACTAGAATTCTTTTTGAAAAGAAAGGGAAGGATCTAGAGTCAGTAGTAGAACTACACAGTTACTCTCTCTCAAGTATAGCGACCGGGTAGGATATTAAATACAGTAATCCTACTTATCTGCAGGGGACAGGTTCCCAGATCTGCACTGGATACCGAAAACCACAGAGTACCAAACCCTCTTATAATTTAATACCTCTCCATGTAAATGAGTACTTGGCATGTTGTAGTAAACTTCTTTAGCTTGAGGTATGATAACAAAACTAATACAGTTTTCGTTTTACAATTTCATGGACAGAAAATTTGTTCTTACCATAGATCTTAGTAAC